TAGTAGTAGTAGTAGTAGTAGTAGTAGTAGTAGTAGTAGTAGTAGTAATAGAATATAAGGTTTTTGGGGGGGAGGGCAGAGACTATTTTTTGGTTATTTTGTTTTTTTTATTCCTAGCACAGACATTACCTTCCATATAGTAGGCACTGAATAAATGCTTGTTGGATTGTACTAAATGAGACCTTGGGCAAATGACCTAACCCATCTGGGTTTCAGTTTCTTTATCTGTAAAATAAGGGGGATAGATTAGAGTAACTCTAAGCTCCCTTTCCAGTATGAAATCTTATGATCTAAAGATCACGAGATTGCTATCATTTTCCAGATGACAGAAGGGATGCTCAGAGAGGATAAGTGACTTGTCCAAGGTCACCAAGCTATTAAGTGATAGAATCGGGACTGGACCTTATCTTCTAACTATGCCCCACCGTGTCTGAAATAGAAAAGGCACCAAGCTCAATCCAAGTGCAGAGACAAAGGTGGGACTGGAGAAGGGGAAAAACAGAATTTCTTATTGATTACATGTTGCTGCCAATTCTCATTTTCTTTTTCAGTAGAGAAACCATAGAAGGGCAAAAGCAACAGTTGCATTCACTGATGATTCAGAGTTACCTGTTATTATATCCCCAGAGCACCACCAGTGCAGTTAATAAAATCAGCAGAAACAGAATGATTTTTCCTTTGGAGATCATTATTCTCTCCTAGGAGGGAAGGAAAAAAGAAGAGATTACAGATCATTCAATGGCCCAGACTAAAACCTGGTATGTCTATCTCTCTGCACAAATAAAGTATTAATGCATTAACCTACAATTCAAAGATTGCCTGATAATTCAGAGTTCAAAGGTGTACATCATGGGGGGGAAAAGCAAAGATTGAAGTATCTAGCATATAGCCTTTCTGATAGTAGACACTGAGTAAAGATTTGTTGAATTGAATTAGGTTGGTGGATAACCCACCTGGAATCAGGAAAGCTTGAGTTCAAATCCAGTCTTGGACATACTAGCTGTGTGACCCCAGGCTAGTCCCTTAACCTCTGCCTGCCTCAGCTTCCTCATCGGTAAAATGAGGATAATAACAGCATGTACCTCTCAGGGTTGTTGTGAGGATAAAATGAGGTAATATTGGTTAAGTGCTTTGCAAAATGTTAAAGTACTATGTAAATGCTTACAATTATTATTAGTTATACACTATTCAGAAGAGAGAAGAGCCATCAATGAGAAAATTACAATGGTTCAAAAGGAAGTTCACAGAATTTCAGAGTACTAGGGGTCCTCAGGGACCATCTAATCCAGACTAGATCTGCACAAGTAGCTCTTCTCCAACATATTTATGATGTAGACTTCCCAAAGTGGGATGATCGGTGTCTTGGGTGTCTTGGAGGCAGCACGTACCCTTTCCTGATGCCCTTTTTAATACATCCTTATTCCCTGTGATTTAGTAAGCATGTTGCATCAATATTAAATTCACTTAAATATTCCACCCCCCCTTGTTATTCTCTCCCCCTACACTCCTTCATTGTTCTTAATTCTGCCTCCAGGGGCCAAGCAGAACAACATAAATCTCACTTCCACGAAGGTCCTTTAAGTATCAAGGAGAGCCATTCAAGCTCCATTCTCCCCCCCTCAAGTCTTCCTTCATCAGGCTAAATTTCTTTAGTTTCTTCAAGAGATGAACCTCTGGCCTGGCCTCTAGGCCTTTCTCCATGCTGGTCTCCTTTCTTTAGATGATTCCCAAATTTTCCGCGTCCTTCCTAAAATCTGATGCCTGGAGCTGAATACTGTACACTAGCAAATAGTTCCTCTGGGCTTGGTAACGTGAATGGACTGAAGACAGCCATGCATTCTCACCATCTGCTCTCTCCCTTTGGGCTTCAATTCTCTGTAAAACATTTTTATCGGTCCAAAGATCATCATCTTTGGCAGGAGGGAAAAACCCAATGGAAATACAATCATTATTCTCCCATCAGCTCAGCCATCCTGAGCAGTGGTTCTATTCCATCTTTGATCTTAAATTTATACTGTGAGCTCCTCGATTAAACTGTGAGCTCCTTGAGAGCACCGTTTTTTGACTTTCTTTGTATCCCCAGCACTTAGCACAGTACCTGGCACATAGAAGGCATGTTATAAATATTTCTTGACTCACTGTTGCCCCAGCCAAGCTATAAAAAAGCCTTTTTGTTTGTTGTCATTCACATTCTTCCCCAGTCTCAGGTCATTCTGAGCTTTAGGATACCTAATGCTATTTTTACAGAGCTAGACTATTTTTCTGTATGTGTCCATAATCATCACTTGTCCTTGCTCCCATCTTTTACAAGTTGTAAAATCTAAGATGACTCTACCTCTGTGTGTCCATATCAATCTGTTTAGGCAACTTCCCTTTTTCATTCTTATCAGAACCATTTCTACTTATGTCTTTAGAATTTCATTCTTGACATCTTTCCAACTTCTCCTGTAAAACTTGAGATCACGGGGTCCTGTCTATTTTTTCCATGAAGATTCCTTTAAATCTACTCTCCTATCACCTATGTTATCAGTTAGATTATCTACAGCTTTCCTCTCCTTCTCTACCTGAATTATGGATGGAATATTGACTTCTCTCTATGATTCCCTCCTTTTCTACTTCAGCAGCTAGCTCCTCTTTGTGGAAACAAAGTAAGGTCCACCACAGCACCTCTTCATAGTTTTGTCCACCATCAGAAGAATAAAGTTCTTAAGGCAAGGTAAGAACATACCAGCTGTTCTGCTTTTGATCAAGAAAGAGAATGTGCCAGCAGATTTCTAGACACTTGGCATCCCACATCACTACTAAGTCATGCTTTAATACCAAGTTTGCCATCCATTTGGGTGGCATAGTGTACAGAGTGCTAGATTTGGAGTCAAGAAGACATATGTTCAAATCTTGCTGCAGACACTTAATAGCTATGCAACCCTGGCCAAATCACTGTAACATTTACTTTCAGTTTCCTCATCTGTAAAATGGAGATAAGAATAGGCACTGAGATGATGGACTTTGATAGACTTGGCTCTTCTCAGCAATGCAAGTATCTAAGACATCTCCAAAAGTCTCATGATGGAAAATGCTATCCACATCCAGAGAAAGAACTATGGAGTTTGAATGCAGATCAAAGCATACTATTTGCTCTTTTTTTCTTCTGTTTTGTTTTGTTTCTTCTTTCTTGTGGTTCCTTCTATTGGTTCTAATTCTTCTTTACAACATGACTAATGTGAAAATGTTTATTAGGAATGTACATGTAGAGCTTATATCAGATTTCATGCTGTCTTGAGGAGGGAGGTCCGGGGGGGTGGGGGGAGGGAGAATTTAAAACTCAAAAGCTTTTGGAAGTGATTGTTGAAAACTAAAAATAAATGAATTAATTAAAAAAAATAGGCACCGACCTCACAGAATTGTGAGAATCAAATGAGATAATATTTAGAGCAATTTGCAAACCTTAAAGCGCTATCTAAAGGCTATTTTAATTGTTATTTCCAATACTAATTGTTTCATTTCTTCTTCTATCAAAAGTGGTCTGTAGCACACTGAATATCAACTTCTTTGTCTCCTTCCATTGATACTCCTTTTAATATTCTCTACCATGCTTCTCCCATCTGGGTTTAATAGATCCCTGTTATGGGAGTCCACTTCAGAATGTACTATACAACAGAGGCGTCAAAGACATGGCCCAGCCCACACTCCAAACCAGATTAAATTAATTGGGAAATATCTAACAAAAATAAATAAAAAGAAAAAGAAACATAATGTTAACATGTGGTTACCTAAATCAATTTAATACTACAGGTTTCTATATTGATAATTTAGTGGCCCAGGTTTCTATTTGAGTTTGACACTGCTACTGTATAATATTAAGATATTTTTATTTTGTTTTTTCTCAATCACATTTAAAAATAATTTTAACATCACAATTTGAGTTCCAAAATTCCCTCCTTTTTCCTTGAGAAGACAAGTACCTTGATATAGATATATATGCACAATCATGTAAAACATATGTCCATATTAGCCATATTGCAAAAAAGAACACAGACAGAAAAAAAAAAAAGAAAAAGAAAAAAAACAGAAAAAAGAAACAAAAAAATTTAGACTTCAATTTGCATTCAGACTCCATCAGCTCTTTTTCTGGAGGTACATAGCATTTTTCATCATAAGTCCTTCAGAAATGGCTTGGATCATTGTATTGCTGAGGATAGCTAAGTCACGCACAGTTGGTCACCACATAATATTGCTATTACTGTGTACAATGATCTCCTGGATCTGCTCACTTCACTTTGCACCAATTCATATAGGTCTTCCCAAGTTTTCTGAAGCCATCTTGCTCTTCATTTCTTATAGCACAACAGTATTCTATCACAATCATATGCCACAACTTGTTCAGTCATTTCACAGTTGATGGGCATCCTTTTAATTTCCAATTTATTGCCATTACAAAAAGAGTTGCTATAAATATTTTTGTACATATAGGACATTTTGGTTTTTCTTTGATCACTTTGGGATACAGACCTAGTAGTGGTATTGCTCAGTCAAAGGGTAGGGGCAGCTTTATAGACCTTTGGGCATAGCTCCAAATTGTTCTCCAGAATACTTGAATCAGTTCACAACTCCACAAAGAATGCATCAGTGTCCCAATTTTCCAACATTTATTTCCTTCTCATCTTGGCAGCATTGGTTTGGTTTGTACAGAAACTCTTTAATTTATTAAAATTATCCATTTTGTATGCTGTAGTGTTCTCCACACCTTGTTTGGTCATAAATTCTTTCCTTATTTATAGATCCAACAGGTAAAGTATTTCATGCTCCCCTAATCTGTTTATATCACCTTTTATTTTTAAATCATGTGCCCATTTTGAGGTTATCTTGGTATATGGTGTGAGGTATTGGTCTATAACTAGTTTCTGCCAAACTGCTTTCCAGTTTTCCCAGAAATTTTTGTGAAATAGTGAATTTTTATCCCTAAAACTTGAATCTTTGCATTTATCAAACACTACATTACTATGGTCACTTCTTACTGTGTATTGTGTTCCTAATCTATTCCACTGATTCACCACTTCTTCTTCTTTTTTTTTTTTGGCAATGATTACTGCTTTGTAATAAAGTTTGAAACTGGTACTGCTAGACCACCTTCCTTCACATTTTTTATTGATTTCCTCGATATTCTTGACCTTTTGTTCTTCAGATGAATTTTGTTGCTATTTTTTCTAGCTCTATAGAATAATTCTTTGGTAGTTTCATTGGTATGGCACCAAATAGGTAGATTAATTTAGACAGAATTGCCATTTTTATTGTATTGGTTCAGCCTATTCATGAAAAATTATTATTTCTACAATTGTTTAGATTTGACTTTATTTGTGTGAACAGTGTTTTGTAATTGTGTTCAAAAAGTTTCTGGGTTTGTTTCAGCAGGTAAACTCCCAAGTATTTTATATTGTCTACAGCTCTAAATATCTTTATCTCTTCCTGCTGGACTTGGTAACACAAAGGATATATACACATATTTATTTATTTATTTATTTGTGTGGGTTTATTCTATATCCTGCAACTTTGCTGAAGTTCATTATTTCAACGAATGTTTTAGTTGATTCTCTAGGATTCTTTAAGTATATTATCATATCATCTACAAAGAGTGATAGTTTTGTTTCCTCACTGCCTATTCTAATTTCTTCAATTTCTTTTTCTTCTCTTACTGATACAG